TGTCTCAGTATTTTTGGATCATGAACCTAATTGATCATTTTTACCCTTAAAGTTTTTGAATTTCAAATTGGTGATTTATGAATCACAATTAAAACTCCTGAGAACATTAGTCAAGAAAAATATTTCACAAATCATTATGGCTACTCACAGGTTATCTGGTAGGAAAGCTTAAATCCGAAGTCGGTGGTGTGCGAATTAGAGTAGAAGTTAAGCAGCGCTGGACCAGAGATGGTAACAGGAGACAGGACCTCATCACCACACACGGTAGCAAAAGGTGTGGAGGCTACGCTGTGGCCCCTGATAATGTGCAGGCCGTCATTGTCACAGCTTCCCGTTACGGCTGAGCGAGCTGTAGGAAGCATGGAACAACCAGCATTTTAATCAGAAGCACATAAACAATCAATGCGGTAAACACCAAACAAAAATGTAAAGAAGATTCATGCAACTTACATACAAATGGTAACTCCCTATTTAATTGGTTTCCTGAGGTTTACCCTAGTGACAAAACCAGCACAGGCGTGAGGACACAGGAACTGGTAGAACGTCACAACAGATAAATCCACTTTGAAATAACCCCAGAATTTTCTTCCTTTATCAAATGGTTCCTTAATTCAGTGATTATAAACTGGGAACAATTTTGCCTCCCACGGACCTTCAATAGTACCTGAAGACACTTTTTGCTGTGCGCGGGGGTACACACTGGCACGGAGTGGGTAGAGCCAGGGATGCTGCTAAGGATGCTGCAATGCTCCGGGCAGCCCCATTCCCCTGCCCTGAAGGCACAGCAAAGGTGGCCTGGCCCCAAATGCCCACAGGGCTGCTCCTGAACAACCCAGCTTACACTTGAGCTATGTACAGATAAAGAACTCCCACCACGGAGAGATAATTAGAAATTCCTTAGTATTTTTTGAACAATGGTTATAAATGTTCATACAATCAATATTAGCTTGAATTCAGTGATTGTAAAATATATATCATCATTTTGTTTTCTAATTATAAATAAGTTCCAACCCACCCTAAAGAGAAAAAACAAAACAAAACAGAATAAACAAAAATTATAAAGCCCTTTATTACCACAACTTATGCAGTCATCTTTATATGCTAATTATACTGTTAAATCATTAATTGGGATCATATTGAACATGCTCTTGCATAACTCAATTTTTATTAACCAAAAATAACATAGCACATGCAGTTTTATGTGATTAAATATTTTTCTAAAACATTAAATTCAGTAGATATAGCAAATTCTGACACATAGATGCACCATTCTGTGTTCAATTAATCCCTAGGACTGATAATTCTATTTTTCCCACTGTTTGTGATAAAAAAATGCTGTTGAAACAAACATTCTGTACATAAAGACTTGTCGAAGTTTCTCATTATTTCATTAGAATACATTTTTAGAAGTCGAGTTACTGGTACTGAAGTCTTTTTCAGGTTTCTCAAATGGCCCTTTGGGAAGGTGTTACCAGCTGACAGTCCCTTTAGATAGCTGACATCTCCCCCAAACTATATTTTCATCCCCCATAGAGAAACCTTGTACTTGTTCAAAATAGTTCCCCACTTACCCCTCCCTATTTACTGCTCCCCACCCCCTAGGCAGCCAACTCCATACTAACTTACTTTCAGTCTGAATGGATTTGTCTGTTCTGAACATTTTGAATAAACAGAATCATATAATATGTGGCCTTTTGCAACTGGCTGCTTTTACTTAACATAATGTTTTTGAAGTTCATTCATGTTGTAGCATAGGGTCAATACTGCATTATCTCCAAGGCTGGATGGTTTTCCATGGCATATACAGACCACATTTTGTTTATCCATTCAGCAGCTGATGGATGTTTGATTTGTTTCTGCTTTTGGCTATTATGAATAATATGGTTATGAACATTCATGTACAAGGTTTTGTGTGGATATGTTTTCAATTATTTTGAGTATATAATAGGAGTAGAATTGCTGACTTGTATGGCAACTCTGTTTAAGTTTTTGAGGTCCTATCAGGTTGTTTTCCAAAGAGGTTGCACCATTTTACCACACCACTAGAAATGCATGAGGGTTCCAATTGCCCACATAATTACCAACACTATGATTGTCAGTCTTTTTTATTATATCCATCCTTGTGGGTTTGACGTGGTAGTTCACTGTGGTTTTGATTTGTTTTTCCTTGTGACTAATTAGGCTTAGAGCCTTTCATGTCCTACTTGACCAAATATTATAATTTTCTCAATTTATCGAGTCAGGCTTTGAGAAACTAAATTTTAATATTTTATATGATTGCATGCTATGACATGGTGGACTCTGAAACCAGACTGCCTGTTTGCTATCAGAACACTCTTACAAATTAAAGAAATTATTATGTACATTTATATTGAAATTTCAAGTCCCCTGGCCATAGATTTTGCTTCAAGGCAGGTTGGGGGGCATGTGACCTAGGCCAACTCATTTAGAATAAGTTTCAAGACCCTTGTTTGAAACTTGAAGTAGACAGTAGTGTACTGGGAAATATAACAACCAGTTCTCTGAAAGAAAAAAAAAATTGCTCTGATTTCTAGCATTTGCCAATTTCCATGGTATAAATATTCCCCCATAGCCAATTTCAAGTTACCAACATGAGATCACTAAATGCAGAATTTGGAATAGAGGAGCATGACTGACTATTGCAAGATGGTATAAGCCAACTCCACATGCCACTGGTTGGCTGCCCTCCTAGATGTGCCTGAGGAGTACACAACCCTCACTGTGAGGGCAGCGACCCTACAGCCAGGCACAGGCCAGCCAAGTGATCCCACCCCATGCCTGTTGCTTGCAGAGGGAGGTGACCAATGGCAGGGAAGGGGGACAGCGCTGCACAGATGGCAAGCAGTGGCAGTGGGGGTGGGGGGACCAGCTGCCAACAACCAAGGGAAGGAAAACCCCATAGGCCCTGAACGCTGGCCAGGCCTAGGGACCCTACCAGAGGAGTCCTGGATTGTGAGAAGGTGCAGGGTGTGCTGAGGGACAACCTCCCTGCCCCTCCTCCCCGCCCCTTGCACAAATTTCATATACAGGGCCTTTAGTCAACAATAAAAGCCAAAGATGTTCAACTTGGAAAACATCAGCAGCCGTCTCCTGACACATGAAGGAAGCCAGGCTGCAGTCAGGGAAAATGGAGTTGTCATGCAGAAAGCAACAACACACGACGGGGAAAGAGAGAGCATGCTGAGGTTATTGTTCTGGCTTCCACATGTTCTGGAAGCCATTCCTGCCCTTCTTAATTTTAAACCTTCCTTTGAGGAGATAACTTATAAACTCTAATTGATATCTAAGTTAATTTAAAGGTAATCTACCACTTTAAACTGAAAGACGCTTGGTGAATGCATGTTTTACATATCTGTACATTAAAACATTCCCTCCCCTTTTTAGATCTGAGTGCTATCTTAGATAAAATTGATTTTTTTCCAGAAAATATCTATGC